GTTGAATCCCATAAAGAAAAGTGGTAGGTGTAAGACAAATTACTCTGAATGATTTAGTTTTATCTATTACATGACCACTGTTGACCAGGAGTGGTAGAACAAAGATTACTTATTGTTTTGATCATTTCGTGGATCCTTCATCCTCTTCAACGAACATGGATCTAACCTCCTACACGAACAGGCTTGCAAACGCAATGCGTTCAGTTGAACCTGTTTCCACTCGACCGCAATCGACTGATGTTTTCGTTCAACCTGACCTACGATATATTACACACGTCTTTGTGCGTCGAGACTCGCATTGACGAACTTTCGAATCAGCATACGAAGGACCTCTCAAAGTTCTTCAACGCGAACTTAAGTACAATAAACAGAGGTCAACTTTACTAAATATTCTCTTCACCGCTTAAGCCAGTCTATCGCGTAGCACATCACTAGCTATGTCTCCATTGATTTGTAGTCTCAGAAAGAGGGATTTCTCATCAACCGTTGACATAGTAGCGGTAAATAAATCTCCAAAATAAATAACTCTGTAAGTTTTCGACATGGGATGCCGACCACAAGTTTTAATAGACTCACCTAGCTGAAGGCGCTCGGTCATGCATCCGCACCAGATCACGAGTGGGTACGCCGTGCTCAACATATACTGCAATCGCTAGCCAGATTAGATCAGACGATCCTAGATATATTGTTAGCTTATCGAATATATCTTCAAACCCCCTCGCTTCTGTCTTTTGATTTCACGTGGTGGGTACGCTTCATATAGAAGGTGTTACTGGTTAAAGAGTGTCAAACTCGAATACCTGTGGCATCTTCAACATCACTATCTTTCTGTTCACTTCAGCCATATATTCCTCAGAAAACTGCGGTTAACTCATATCAGCCAGTATATTATGAATAAACTGTAGTTACTTATTTATAGCATTTGTCGAGCATATTTCGATAGCTCCACGTGCAAGATGTCTTACTATGTTTCTCTTACAATAAGTGAGTACAAAGCTAAGGAAATGTTTTTTATACCAGCAAACCTATTCTATACATCCATTTGCCGATCAAACCATTATCTTTTCTGTTTAGCAAAACGTGGATGAAATGCGTCTCGCCATCGATATCTTGCTCACACGTAAGTCTGCTAGGTGTATACTGTTAAATAGTCTTAAGAGGAGTCTGAGTAACGTTTATAAAAAATAAACATAATGCATTAAGGTAATGAGAAAGTGATGGTCATTAACTTTGATGACTCAAAAAACAATGATTAAGAATACCCATCCCCTTGTAGAATTGTCAATCCCTACACGGATTATTCAAAGCTCCTACGAAACGTCTTGGATTTTGGCGCGGAATCCATTCGTCCATTTGGTTAAGGAGCGTTTTTAGATTTTAGCAGTCAGTTCGTGATGAAAAATCTGGGTCTAATTTCTAACCCTAACCATCAACTCTAAATCGTAATCCTTATTCTTCACAGAGGTTTATAACTCTCATTTAGCCCTAATGGTTAGGTGGATATTCTCAAGGTCACTTTAACTTCACTCATAGTCGTCCATAAATTACATATTTTATGGTGAGAGTATATAGTCTCACCGTTGAAATTTCCCAGTATTGGGACCATATGCATGAGACTCAGTTGACTTCTAAAATCAGTAGTAATTTACGGTTATTAGGCAGGATGTTAGTTACGTACGGTTAGAATAACAAGTAGTGACAACCCAGCTGAGCGGTTACTACAATTGGAGCAAGACACTCTACACATAGACCAACGTTAACTGTCACCGCTCAACAACCAAATGTCTGTCGCTGTAGAGACAGCGAAACGTCACTGAGACCCAACATGCTGAATTACTTCTACGTTTGGCGATATATCACTGGGAAGTATCAAACATCGAGTAATAGTTTAAAGTATTATTGTACGAACTAGAAATTCCCAAAATAACGCAATCTAAGTAAACAGAACTAGGTGAGTACTATCGAACATCGTCAACGACGACTAACGCCCATGACCTTACGGCGCTGGTTTTACTCTGTTTCTCCAACCTATACTTGCATCATGTTTGTTCTATATGTTCATCGAATTAGCCACGGTAGTTGGATATCACGGTAGGTTAGTCCACATTAGGTATTGACTTCTACGTAGGCTTGGAGGTCACTGTTCCCTCATAACTCGGGTAAACCTTCTTTACCAGTGATATCCACTTCAGTCCTGATATGAATTAACTTAATCGGTCATGATTACTCAATAAAACCTCAAAAATCAAAAGCCAGGTCACTTATGACCATTTTCCTTAGGTAAACTTGTATACATCTTATACTGATCTCGTTAAGTAACATGCTCAAATGATATGATATTGAAAGTTTAGTATGAAGTGTTTTTTATGGTTATACATCAGTAGATCACACGTACAAATTGAGAGGTCTGTAAGAATAGTGAAGGATTGTAGGTCATGTAATGATTAATTATGTTACATGTGAACTGACTTGACAATCAGATTGTCTTCGTTCGAGTTTAGCGTGGAGATAATTGACTCAGTCTACCAACCCATCGACTTAATACAATTAGTAAACACGGTCACGTATACTTTATTGTATATGAATAAGTGTCAATGACCAACAATATCTGAGTAATTAATGGGTTAGAAAATGGCACATTTCCTAGTCACGCTTCTTATCTGTACAGATATGGAGACGTTTTTGTAGATTTGTGATTCAGGAGAACAATATATGTCTACCTATGTTTAATACTTAAATACGAAATTTATGAAGATCATTTGATAGCTTAACTGTTAAAAATACGTTGTAAGACGAAGAATATTCAAGGACTGAAATTGTGAACCATATATGTTCGATTAATGAATCTGACTAGCAGACTGGAAACGTGGAAGTGGAAAGTAATCGGAATCTGCATGAAGTCCCGAACAAGTGATCGAACGATATTCAGATTAAGATGTTGAGATGTAGTAGACTCATATACTTTCGAACATCTAAGAGAGTTCGTGAAAACCCACAAGTCCTTGAATTTTGATTTATGCATTTTTTAGACTACTAAGTCTACCGTGTAGGTAAATCAGATAGGCTGATACGATCGTAAAATTCCACCAAATGTAGATGAATATATTTTTTAAGTGTTTCTGCTCTGAGGAGTCTCCAAATGGTGTAGTCTATGAATGAATATGTTGCCGCAGGTTGAGGTATAGAGTTCGAATAGTCAATAAAAAAATAAGAGTTGTTGGTTGAATGATAAGTTTATTAACATTTTTCCATCCTTTTAAGTTTGTCATTATAAAATGAGATCAACAGAATGCTACAATTCTAACACAGTCACAACAAATTCAATTGAAGTTTGTAGCCAGACCACTTAGAGTCTTTCGTTATCCTGAAGAAATCACGTGACGACTTGGACTTTTCAGGGAGAACCTTTTTTTAGAAGGGATTGTAGCAACCGGACTATATAATATTCCTATGAATGAGGAAAACGATCCAATCAAACAATGTCCGATCAGACTGAAGTGTTAATTTTTTTGGTGTATATATCTGTTTTGGGTCACTAACAATCAACAATTTTATGGAAACAAATTGGTAAGTAATTTACACAGTATATATCATGTCAATATCCCACAATGTTAATTTCTAACTTTGATCCGAGATGTTGTGCGATCACCGTATTGACATTTATTAAATTCTTACTAGAAAAAATTTCCATAGTTCTGATGAAAAATCGTGACAAAAGGTGTTCGACCATGTCAAGTGTGAGGTAGTGATTTTCGAAGATAATAGGAGACGGTCTCACAATACAAATGACTGATTGAAGCTAAACATCAACACCGCTGGATGTCGGTCCAGAAGTCTACGGAAGGAAGATCCTTGGTTAGATTCACGCGTTTGAGATTGTTGATGCCTTCTGCCGGGAAATCCCATGCTAAGACGAAAATGTTATTCAACTCTTTCAGGTTTTCTGTGGTGGATTTACTTAAACCCGTTTATGATTTTAATGAAAATCAACAATCTCCACGTCCTAGTACTGAAAATTTCTTTGGGTCACAAAATTTCTACTGAGGTATCAAACCATTCTCTTAGTACATTGAAAACGCTCAAAATTCAGCGGAAAATCGATGCCTAGATTCTTTTCCGTGGTGGAAACTATAATACTGGAGTCAGTCCAGAAGTATGTAATGGATGGAGTTTGTTGGTGTTCTTGTTAGTTCAGCTATTTATCTTATGTAAGCCTCCATGGAGAGTCAAGACATCTTCTGGACCTCTAGATCTTAAGGCCATTAAAGTAAATGAGAGTTTGAGAGTCCAGAGATCTAGACATACTGTCTGTCTAAAGATCATCTCTTGACACATCAAAACAAATATTATCAGACTTGCACATACAATTATCTTTTTACAAACTTTAAACGTAGGTCTCATGTCACATTCAATGCTCTGGTAACATTGAAGCGCATTTTTGGCCAGTTTGATGAAAGAACTTTCCACATAATCTCCAACAGTTTCATTCGTCTCTATTTAGAGTACCGAAACATAGTATTTCCTCTCTCACCCCCAAAGGATTAGGACACTATGGAACGTATCCAACGGCGAGACAAAACATCAGTTCGGCGACTCACATTCAAACCTTATGAAGAGCGCCTCCAATCACTGAACCTTTGCCCATTAGATTACAGACGTCTCAGAGGTAACCTTCTAGTGGCTTACAGTATCCTAAATACTTATGAACACCCCCTTAAACATCTATTTAAGCTTAGTATCTATACAAAGCTAAGGAGTAACACTCAGAAACTGGAGACACAACACAGTAGGATGGACTGAAGACACAACTTCTACTCTTTAAGAGTCATTAAATGCTGGAATTCGCTGCCGTCCGAGCTAGCCCATGCGGCTTTCTAGGAGTCCTTATTAAGAAAACTTAAGTCAATTGACATATTCCTAAGGACTAAGTATGGTATCATACTATAATTTACCAATTTCTTTATCCTCTTTTGCCGACAATATACCTAGGTCCTTGCTTGGAGGTATTGGTAGTCAGTTGCTACTAGACACAGAAACCCGTTAAGCGAAACATTTTGAACCAGATTTCAGACACAATTTGTACATTGAGGGCGCATATTTTAAATGGTGACCTAGTCCGGCTATATAGCTGCAAGCACTTTCACTGGTTGAATATCCTTATTATAAAATAGGTTTGTTGGGATATGGGAGGTGTAGTTTGTTCTGTCATTTCTTTTGCATAACCAAAATTTTTCAGTTGCACTATTTCCTACTTCGTTTCGTTAAACGAATATGTCATTGATACTCATCTGCACACAACTGACGTGAAACTTACATTTAATAAAGGTAGATTGCTAGCTCCAGTGAAATTTGTTTTATCGCTGAGCTTACAGATGGCTTCATCGCTCACCATCTTGATTTTAGAATTCTGAGGCATATGCTTAGTATTAGACGTATTGATACTATTTAGCTAAATGTTCGTGGTCCTAAAGTGAAATGAATAATGGCAAGTTCGAACTTGTAATGGATGTACTGAATTCTAGTTTGTATTGACAGCTATTAGTCACATGGAATCTGAGTTACCTTGATATATTTTAGTTCTTCAGTGGATCGTTCGCATCCGTCTAGTGCCTTATGTCTCTCTGATGACAAGTATATTCATAGTGTCAATGGAAAATCAAATATGTCCTCATAAGGCTTTTTAATATATAACGACGAAATGAACCACACAACTAAACATTATAAGTAAAAGGTACAAATTGATAATGTGATTATAGATGTATTAGTTGTGATGAAAATAGTAAAGGCTTGAATCAATGTCTTATAACAGGAAGTAATAGATCAAAGACTTGGAAAAAAAGACATTGAAATGAAATTCATTAAAAACCAACAAGATTACCAAATAAGAAGCATCCAAACAATTAGACTGAAGAGTATATTCAAATAAGGGATGAAGAAGAACAAACTCGGAAAGAGTATGGAAAATGATGAGTGAAATCACTTGTGAAGCTTAGTTGGGCCAAAGAAGAGATAAGGGTGTTAAAAATTTCTTATGATTACCGAGACGGGTTATTGGTTGGGATCACTATAGTTATTGTTACCTGTAAGAGACGTGGTTGAATCCCATAAAGAAAAGTGGTAGGTGTAAGACAAATTACTCTGAATGATTTAGTTTTATCTATTACATGACCACTGTTGACCAGGAGTGGTAGAACAAAGATTACTTATTGTTTCGATCATACTCTTTCCCAATCACGAACGTAACTGTTCTTTAACTCATTAACTAAGGTCGACTCTTTGAACGTGCACCTCGTCTCATCTTAATAAGTACGGTGCTAGCACAAAAGTTACCCACAGGAGGTCGTGTGTTGCTGGACTCAAGCAGTTTTCCCTTGGGTACTGTGGTCACGTTGTTGGGTGACTAAGACCAACTCTAACCCAATTTCCTTTTCAGGTACCTCCAGAATAACCCTTACGCTGTGTGGGCAACCGGGAAATAAAAACTGCCCTCAGATTCCCAACCACACTCAAGAGCACTCTATTTGATTTCTTCAAAAAACTTCGCCGGTAGCTGATACAGTCAATATATTGCGAATAAACTGTAGTTACTTATTTATGATCATTATCGAGCAGATTTTGCTGGCTCTATTTGCGAAGTGTCTTATTAGGTTTCTCTTGTAACAAATGGGTAAAAAGCTCAAGATATGTGTGCGAATGGTTTATTTTGTTGTTTTGTCACATGGAGTACGCTAATCGAGATATAGAAAGTATCCATCTGTTCAGATCTAGTTGCGTCCCACTTTTATGTTCATAAACAAAAGCCATTCTAGACCGTTATATGTATCGGTAGCCACCATAACATGAAGTCGCTATAGTTTTTAACATTTCACGCTTTGTTCAATCCAGTATTTCGGAAGATTTATTTAAACCACCATCTAGTTTAAAAATAAAGATCCCAGTTCAATATCTTCCTGTTTGTGTTCGTTCACTTGCTGAAAATATCTGATCGCGAACAAGTGGATCTTAAGTATTTTTAGGTAGGAGGATGGAGATTTTTGGATGTGTAAACTCAGTACTCCGAAATATTTTACTACTGAAAACGCAAATTTATGGAATAGGTAATGCATGAAATTTTTAGGACGGACTTTTTCCAACCTTCATTTGTGAAAAGACAGTATCTATGTAGATGCTCGTTATCTGTAAGAAGCACTTTAATGCGGTCGTACCTTAGCACAGTAGGCAATACGACTTCGCCTTCGGGCCTTGAGTTTCTAATTTTAGTGCTACCCTTTTTCTAGCCGACCTGCTTAACGTGGTTGGACCTAAAGAGCCAAAAGTCTCACTCAATACATCTCGATTGGGTCATTATGATAGGCAAGCCCAACCGCCAAGTAAAGTTAGTAGTGACTTTGGATTTGACTGATGGATCGAGAAATCTTGCAAATGAAACGGTCCATTACCACATACATTGGTTTTACACACACGGTTTCTAGTGTTTCTGTACAGATTTTTCTATTTAAAGCCCTCAAATGCCCTGGTATGGCCGAGAGTGGGGGTGGGGTGGGCCCGCCCCCTATCGAAATGCTCTCACAAGCCACGCTTATACAGCCTCTGTCAGGGGAGTCCTACTCACTGCCTTCTCGTGGCGGTGTTGTTTACGAAAATGAGAGGATGAAAAGCGAATGTCCGGCGCTTTAACCGGATCCCAAATCAATGGTGCACATGGGTTCCAGTATCCTGAAGGAACAAATGGCGTATGAACCAATCGTTGGTCACCGGGTACCATGGAACTTCATCTCCTCATGATGCTCCACTGCCTTGTGGGTTAGACCTTTAGGTTAAAGGCTCGGGGTGTGGCCCTCTAAGAAAACCACCTGCTTCGGTCTGGGCACCTTGGCAGTATCACAGCCCACACACACAAATATGGTGTGGCGCATATATATTTGGTGCCCTCTTCTACCAATATCTGTGTTCAAGTAAATAGTAAAAGTAGTTTCTATTTAAAGCTCTATTACTTGTTATTCGGTGTTTTGGACAAACTTCATTTCATATTTCACGGTTTAACATTTTTAGTTTATCTTGAAAAATTTACTGACTATATAGTTGGATATCTATTAGTTTAAGGCAATTCCATTTAAATTCTCAAGTTATCCACATGGTAAGTTTAAGTGTACCAAACAGTGAGCCTTCATCTTCTTTTAGAGTTGCCGAAGCTTTTCCTGTGCATTTGAGAAAAAAGCCAAAACGGTGCATATTAAAGGAACTTATTAAACATCTACTTTGATGTTAACCTTTCGTAAACCCATTACCTTCCCCCTCTCTTTATCTACTAACTTTTTATGTCCGTATGGTCCTTCCGAATACGTTTAACCTCAACATAAATATTATACCCTATCACTACTCAACCAGTTTTCACTACTACTAATTTTCATTTATCTTGTTGAATATTCAGACTATCAATAGCTAGGTTTTTAGTTTCTCAATAAAGATAACATTTTCGTGCTATTTTTATTTTACCTCTCTGTTATTATGTTCAAAAAGTTATTGTCGTTATTATTACAATAATTACTATAATAGACGTATTAGTGCTTATCGTTTTGGAAAAGTATTTGTAACTGTACAGCCCTGAAAAGGAAGTCGCCAAAAAGAGAACTCTTTGCTTATCTAATCTTTCTTGATTTATATCTCAATGGTGGTACTCTGTTAATTTTGAACTTCGCTAATTAAATCTTTGTATTTTAAGTAGATTAACTAGGATTTAGTTGCAACTGTGTAAATGTTTTCATTCCTTATTTATCTACAAATCTTAAGTTTTGATATTCATGCTTTTCATTTAGTCTCTTTGATTCATTGCTTTCACTACCGTTCATATCATTATTTGTATTTGCTCGTTTTTCATATCGTTCGTTTCCTAGCACTATGTTAATACATTATTACAATTTTACTCAGCGTTATGTTCTAGGCTGTTTACTACTGGGTTAAAATAAATGTTTACCGTTTGTCTAATTCTCATGTAACCCATCTGGGAAGTATAGGTTTATATTCCCAAGTCACGTTATGTAATAGTTATGCTCCCCAGATACCCAGACCGTAGTAGATGATAGAGAGATTAAAGTTGTAGCATACTGTTTGAAAGCCATATTTAGTAAGTCACTACTACTTCAGTTGATTACACACAGATATGAAGATTGGTGCAATCTAACGATAAATTTCATCAGAAAGATTCATACACATCATTTTTGTTCATTATAATTATTCGAATTTAACTATTTAGATTTGTTTTGTTTCAAGGTATGTTACCACCAAATGACTTATTGCAACTGACGGATGAGGATGTAAAAACATTAAAGAAGTGCAGACAAATCTCATTTTGGAGAGGCAGTCTCCCATTCTCCATCGGTGCTCTTTTAGCTGTTAGTGCTGCTGATAAATATGGATGGTTTTCAAAGCGTAAGATGTTTCGTTTTCCATCTTATTTTTTCGGAGTTACCATTGGTTATTTCGTTGGGCAATTCAGTTGTGCAGGAGAATGTAGACGTATGTTTCTCCAGCTTAACAATAGTCGAATCAAAGATCAGATTCTTAGAATGGAAACTCCCGGAACATTTCAACCTACTCCTGGTTCACCTATAATTGTAAATACACCTGTAGAAAAACATCCACCTATGAATTATGAACAACGTAGACAGTTTTATAATAAGCAACGTGAACAATCTACATCTCCGTACCCCAGTTCCAAACCACCGACAACGATTGAAGAAGAGGATACAACATCCGATCAAACAAACTCAAGTCTATCGTACTTTGATAATGATAGACCAATTAGTTCATTTTATTATGATAATGATGTCTATCGACCTAAAGAGGAATAATTTGGTAACATAAAGAGAAATATGTATTTTGTGAAACAAACTGTTGTACGAATAGTAATATATTTAGTTGCTCTTATTTAATTTTTTTTAGATTTTCCTTCACATTCGGAGATATTTTTTGATTAGTAGCATATATACAGATAATAATTAATTTATCTATTCATTCATCCACCCAATTATCCTTGTTCAGTGCAGATTTCATAACTAATTGTAAATACACGTTTTGTGCGGAGTTTATTTGTTTATATGATAAAATTAAAGGGTCTGTACCGATTTTTGTTTCTAGGAGGTGTTACTCTTACTGAGACTTATTTGTTAAGTTTTTGTTTGAGAATTAACACTAAGACTTGAGAAGCTGTAGCTTGATGTTCTCAGTACGTTTATTAATTAATTTAAATTTACCTTACCGTTGCTTGGCAACAGTCCACGAAGACAATGACTGTTGAGCTGAGCCGTGTAAGTGGATGTAGATTACCTGGTCGAGGTCTGTGGTGTTATCGTAGCCAATAGTTATAGACTTTGGATGACGGCTGAAAATCATGCTCAGTAACGCAAGTATATTCATTTTTTGTCTTTCCTCAGGTCCTAAGTTAACTAATAAACCTTGTTTATTCCAATAATTTTTATTTTCTGTTAGAGTCCTATCTTCGATGCATAATATTTTCTCTGGCCAGTGATACTGTCACTACTTTCACTACTCTGGGATTTACCGTGAAAGTTCTATTTTTCAGTGCTAATGCTGTGTGGTAATTTGAACGGATGTATACATATGACAGGTTCTACGTTACGTATGTCTGTCTGAATAACTCATAACTCGGGTAGAGTCTAAAGAAATAATTATTTAGTATCTAAAATCTTTTCAATGCTCTATAAACGATGTGTGATATTCTTTTAAGCATCCCCACTTTCGTACTGTTAGCGGGACATAGATTGGATTAAAGCATGTTCCGTGCACGGTAGTGTTGGTGTACGCTGATTGGCTAATTCTTAACCAATCAGCGCTAGTCGATACTTGTAGGAGACTAGAATCTCATGGAAATACCATTAATATACTGACGTTTTTCTTATTGTACTTCTTACTTCCATCTACCCTTGTTATTTGAAATGTAATTTCTCTCCTGTTCAACCGTGCTCTGATTTGGGAACTTGTCGAATAAATTAGTGTCCATGACTACTAAGCAATAGGAATAGCTGGGTCGTAATACGAGAGAATTATTACACGTATCAAGCATCAAATGATTTGAAGATAAACAGTTTTATGTGCACAAACTACAAATAAATTAAATATGAAATATAAGCAATGGTCTTTTTTTAGTAGCGGAACGCATACACTATTTTAATAAACATACCGAACGGTTATCATCCAGCTACTGGTTTCAAACTCTGGTATATATTGATACAAACAGCTTGAATTATTGATTCACATTTGATCATGACACCTTTAATTAGTACTGTTTCTTTAAGTTTTAATTATCAGTTACTAATTGTATTATAAAATATAACTTTCCACGAGATTTCACCATTAAATATCAGGCTTACAAGTAGTTTTTTTAAATTTTGACCTGTCAAAACATGTACATTGCTGGAATAAAGTGTAGTGTGTAAGCTACATTTTGCTTTACATATTGATGTAACAAGAACGAAGTGTTACTTGACAAAATGAGTTTGTTAGGATTTACAACTATGTGGGATATTGACTATTATTATTATTTTAATTATGATTATTATTTTCATTAATGTCCACTTTGGCTTAGTGGTATCATTTTAATTTCCAGATAAATTTCATTTGTACTGATTAAAAGAAAGAGAAGTTAATCGATATGAAAAGTTTTATTGCATTTGAAGTGTTAAATTATCGGATATAGTTCTCATACTTTCTAACGATGGTAAATTTAGCTTGTATCATGGATTGACTTCGGCTAGTGAGCCACTGATATCCAGGAAACCTGGGCAACTGTTTCGTACTAGTATAGGGCCCTTCAGCAGTACACACCCACAAGTCAGTCAGCTACAACGTAGGACCAGGCACATATGTGCATCGGTCCAGGTTGCCATACCTCATTAGCACAGCAAGATGAACACCGGATTCATAGGAGTGGTTAGGTCAAAGGTTGCAATAAGGGATCGAACCTAGAGCTTTCATGTGCTACTACTAAGTTGGGACAGTAATTGACCAACGATGTTAATTAAACATCACGCTGTATTACTATATTAATTTGCGATACCAACTGCCTTCACAAATATTTCATAATGTTTCCATATTTCCAAATTTTACATTGAATATGGATCTACAGTAAATTCCCTAACATTTTTGCTCATTTTTTAGCTAGAAAGAATCTTTTTTGGTGAAAAGCATTGTGTTTTCTCAAATATATATAAGTTCTAATCTGGAAATAGGTTGTTATGAATTTATTTTCAGCCTTTATTAATTGTCTTCAGTAAATCTTCGACTGCAGCTTTATGTTATTATTTCTGTGACAAATGACTATGCTTTACCCTGAGTGATTGCTTAGAAATGACTAATGTTATGTTTTATAATTGTTAGTACTGACTCAATACTAACAATCAAGTTGTACAGTATGATTGTTATTTTAATATATTGTAGGTTATGGCGGAATAATCCTCTAATTTTGACTTGACTTAAATGTCTCTCATTTTCTATGCAAGTTATAACAATCCCATTTCATTTTGTAGCATATTCAATAAGATATTTTTACATTGATGAGGAAAAATCACCGGTAAAGTGAACAAATCACAAAGACTGTCAGCATTACCATACACTTTTTATTCTTAATATACACTTGAGTGCGTCGCGATTGTTTATTTACCTGATCTTAATTTTTATCTTTTCACTTGTTCTAGTCCTTCACAACTTTTGAAATATTATTATTTTTAAGTCTAACTATTTCTTGTCCGAGTAAATGTGCAGTTGACTGACTCGGTTGGTTTCTTCATTGTTGTTTGTAATCTGAGTCATGTAATAAACTGAGATTTGTAAGAGTGACCGTACCGTAAACGAATTGTTGGTTGGAAGTCACTTATAAATTGTTCAATTGAATGGCTTATTTAATGTTTTGGACAGTAATATTACGTTTTCTGACTATTTCCGACTCTATGATATTGAAATGATGGATAGGCCTTAATTCATTGGAGAACAAGTGACTTTCAAAACTGTTAATGTTCAATCGTTTGTGATATCTGACCATGTTTATTTACTGTGAATAATTTTTTACTACATGCATGCTATTTTAAATGGAAAAACTCCTACTGAACAGCTATTTTGTCTTCTAGTAGCAATTCAGTTAGTGTCCTGAGTCAATAATTCGGAACTGTGAACTATTAACATTAGGCTACATGGTATCATTACATATCATTTATCGATTAACACTATATTCATTGTAACGATTTAAAACCCGCTTTTCAAAACAAAGTGCTGTTACGAAAATTTTAAGTTTTCAGTTTAATATTTAATCATTTGTTTTTTTAACAAACAAGATTTTACTCTAATTGAGTACCATTTTCTGTGTTGTCAAGTTTCAATGTAGTGATTAAAAGTAGTATATTTGAATTATCCTCTAAATTGTATTACGAAAGATTAAGATTTTTTTGTGGAAGGATAAGAATATGCCAGTATATGAAACATATTGGCGACTGTTTCCATTTATTTACGTACTGACATCGAAAATATCGTATTTGGCCTTTAGATAAATAAAGCCCAATTCAACATCTAGTATGTTTGATATTGCTCCATAGTATTGATTGATGGTGATACTTTGTTAATATGTAAAATTTTATAGTTTAGTGAATGGATCTTTGATTGTTAACACGAAAAAAGGGATGGTAGTCAATAGGTAGTAATGTATGGTGATAAGAAGTGTGACCGAGTGATATCTGTTCATGAGATTGAATTGTTGACTTAAGGTGCCGAATAATTTGAGATCAAAAGACATGTCAGATGGCCAGAAGAATTGGTATTTTATGTTAACAAGAAATATTATGCTTATAGTACAAATACGAACACCAAGCAGTCATGGTCAGATGACAACTCAGTAATTAGTTAATGTAGATCAGAAATTAAGCTTTGATAGACAAAGCGTACGTTTTGTGAATACTTACGATTAAACAAACTTTCGATTTCGTTTATTTTTATGTTAATATTTTGTGTGTCGTCTTGACACGAAAAAACAATTCTTACTAATTATTTGTTAATTCTTCTGGTATCCTTTCATTTTTGGATAGAGTTAATAGTAGTTCGAAATCCGTCTGAAGGTAGTTAAATCCTGATTCTCTGCAACAATAGATATGGAATATGGATATTCTATTCTATATTGGGTCACATTGACTATCGAGGTGATCCGCACATACGCCGGCCAAGACTGATCACATCTCAGTCGAAATATCAACAACGGGATAATCCAAGTCACTTTAAAGTGAATTAAGAAATATGAAGGTTCTAGAATAGTTTGAAAATGTTTGGATAAAATTGTTCTGGATAAGTGTAACATAGTTTTCAACATTAAACTGGCCTCTTCAAATGCTTGTTGAAGGAAACACTGAATATTATCTGACAGTCAGACTATCAAATTTAATATAATTCCGTCTATATATACCATTATACACCGTCTCTTGTCAACACATTTTCTTATCATGAACAGTTTGAAACCACCTTATAGTCTATCAAAAGTAATCACGATGGAACTTCAAACTACATCTTACAAAGTAAATTGTTTGGACTTATACGGTTCATTTTTAGTGGTAGAAATACAGTATCTTCACTTTGTCACACTAATATCATTCAGAAGAAATCAAATAGGAATTTATTTAGCAATAATTACACAATATAATGAAATATTAGTAAGGCACGTATTCGCTGAAGTTACCTTTAACATCGGTTATAAATGTAGAGTTGCTTAATTATACAATACTTCGTCAAATGTTCGGATATAAAACTTGATAGTTTAGCATTAATAAAAGCTTGTTATTTTATTTTAATGCGTTAGTTCTTATTCACTTTATACAAAGTTTTCTTATTTGAAAAACAATTATTGTATGACATTTCGACTAAACTCTTCTAATATAACGCATAAAGTTGATCAGGAGTTAATCAACTGGTAACTGACAGTATACTATGTAAAAAAAGCTTCAACAGATTAGTTAAATAATTTGACAGAGGTATATTGAACATTAACCCGACCCACGACGATCGTTGGGGTATAGCTTTTATCGTAATA